TAAAACTCATTTCGAACTTGTAACATTATCATGTATTGTTAATACTATTGTTTATTGTTGTTGTGTTTAAAGTATGTCATCATTATTCTTTTCAATGATATTTTAAACCTTACATAAAGTTAACTTTAAAGCGTTCCAATGAGCAAGCAATGACTCACAGTCTTTACAGTATGATATTGTACATACAGTGATCTTTGTTTATTGTTGGTATGAAGCCACAGTGTAATACAATGTCAACACCATCATTCTATTATAATCATGTACTTTACCTTCAATTACAATTTAATTCTCTATGCCAGTCCCCATTTTTATTACATTTTCTGATACATAAGATGTCCTTATGGTATGTAAGAAGTTTGAGGTGTTTCTGACAAATAATTATTGAGTTATGACCATTTTTGAAAATGAGCCAATTTTTTGAAAAAATCCCTGTACTACAGCCCATGAATTTTTTTAAAAATTGGCTCCAAAATCACCCCCAATTTTTATTACATTTTTTGATACATATTGATGCACTTATGCTGTGTAGTAAGTTTGAGCTGATTCCGACTTGAATTTTTCAAGTTGTGGCCATTTTAAAAATCAACCATTTTTTGAAAAAAACCCCTGTACTATTATAGCCCATGGTTTTTTTCCAAAAAATGGCTCCGAAATTGCCCCCATTTTTTATTACATTTTCTGATACATATTGATGCACTTATGCTGTGTAGAAAGTTTGAGTTGATTCCGACTTAATTTTTTCAAGCTATGGCAATTTTTAAAAATTGGCCATTTTCTGAAAAAATCCCTGTACTATGAATTTTTTCAAAAATTGGCTCTGAAATCACTCCCAATTTTTATTACATTTTTTGATACATATTGATGTACATTTATGCTATGTAGAAAGTTTGAGATGATTCCAACTTAAATTTTTCATTTTTAAAAATGAGCCAACTTTTGAAAATAAGCTAAGGCTATAGTCCATGGTTTTATAAAGAGTGGATCTGAAATCACCTCCAATTTTTAGCATAATGATTCAAGCAACTTTATTGTACATACTGGTACATTATATTTACACTTGTGTTTGTTAATTGTAATGATATTCATAAGCTAATAATGTAGAATAATCTAGAACATTCCTGAAAACAATGCACACTCACTGTACACACACACACACACACACACACACTGCATTGGTGTATCACTGAATATTCTAGAAGACTCTGTCCTACACTAATCTACATGTATACACCAGAGCATAATGTCACTGGTAGATCAACC